TTATTTAAAACTAATGGGGGGAAGGGAAAGACAGCTGCACAGCTTAGATTTTGGAGGTTTAAACAAATACTGTTCTGAATGTATATCTTTTAAGGACTGTGTCACCATTGCCCGTTGTCAAACTACTGTTCTCAGTGGGTATTGTATAAGTGATGGAGAACATCCCCAGTAGTTTTCCTAGTCTAGTTGGTGGTTTATGTGTAATAATGAGTTGTGCAGCTGAAGTGCAATCTGCTTCTTGTGCCCTGGCTCCCATTTGCTCTCCAAATAAAGGTTTTGATTATTCTTTAAATACTGGGATATTTCATATTCCAAAACTGGTGAGGTTGATATGTCTCCTTCTGCAAGTTAATGGGTTTCAGAACTGAATCTTAGCTCTAAAATATTGAGTGTTGGAACTGTAACACTATGCACTATAACTTGACATGTCTATCTCCTGTTTTTTAAGAGTGTAAAACATTACTGAAGGCTTAACTGGCTAAAATACAGAGAAAGACATCTATTTCAGAAATATCTAAAGGTTATCCTTTTTATAACAACACGTCTTACATTCTGTTACTGGCTTAATACAGTATTTTGGCAGCGGGCCACGCTTTGATCTTGCACTCCAGATTTCCTATTTGCCCCCTATACTCTTGTCTGCCTATTCTCACTTGTCTGTCAGCTCTAGTGGTTATGTGACCACGTTCTGATTTGGAGTGGTTCACTTATTCAACTGAAAGGGTGGTTTGGATTTTTCACTTTCTCTTTTCCTCTGTAAAGCCAACTATGAAATAGTGCCCTTAGACAGAAGGGAATTTCAAAGTAACCTCATGCTGAAGTTTTAGCTTTTTAAAATGAAAATGTGCACCGTGGTGATTTTATTACTGCATACCTTTCCTACGGAATTTAATAGTTATATGCAAGTTTAGTTAACTTTTTTAGATTCAATAAAGTATTTATATGATCTGGCAATAAATGCCTACAGCCAATACAGATTCAGAATGCCTCATGGACACTGGAACCAGTTATTTCTATTACTTGAACATATCTTGAGAATTGCAAATGAATTACATCTTCTTTTAAAACTCTGGGGGAAAAAAAATTTCTATAGCAATAATTAGTTCTCACTTAATGCATAGCTGCTGAGCATTTTAATCATGTTTAAACGTTGAGAGACTTGAATGCACATTTTAAAGCAACAAATGTGTATAAATGCAATATAAAAAAAAAACCTTGCAAAATTTTAACCTCTTCATTTACATATGTTAAAATCTGTATTGGTAGGTGCTGCCTACTTAAGATTTTGTACTTTTAATATGAAGAGATTGCATCCGATACATTCACTAGGCAAGTGTTTAATGAAAATGAAACAATCTATTTAAATATATTTAAATAAATGCTGCTGCTGGTCATGATCTTTCTCACTGAAACTCGGACAAAAAGCTGTGTACTTGTGATGCTTTTACTCAAAACATGCAATCTTTTCTAGCAGATTGCTGTTTAACAAAATTGTCATGTTCACATTGCATTTGTGTATGGTTTCAATATGGTATGTTTGAATTGTACCTTCTATTTTTTTCTTCCTATTAAAGTATTTTATTTTATGTTTGTCTCTTTGTTGCATAATAAAGGTGATCAGTCCCCTTGATGCTACTTCTTCTTTTCCAGATGCTTTCTAAACTTAAGTCTATGGTCAGTTGTATGCCTTTGAATGATCAGCATGGCATGTATGCTGCTGTTGGAACAGATGAGCCATTCCTGAGCTCACAAATTACCTTCTAATATCACATCTTAAGATCTTTCCATGAGCAGAAAAGATGGTAGGTTGGCCAAAAGTCATTCATGCTTCTTTTCTGCCTCCCATGTTCATATGTTGCTGTGCTATGAGATGCAAATAGAGAAATAAACTCCTAAAAGGAGAGAGAAAGAGGTATGTAACACTTGGGGCCAATAGCAAAACCTTGGGGTTTAAGGGTAGTTTTACTAAGAAGAGTTAATGTTTTCCTGAGTAAAGGATTGTCGGTAAGTTTGGGCTGACTGCATTTGGACCAGCAAGGTGGTATCTACATGATTTATCCTTCTGCCCTGTATTTCTGAGCTGAAAAACCCTTTGGTTATTTTTTTGTGTTTTTGTATTCCAAGGATATACAGATGGTAATATGGTTATGAAATTGAGTTAATGTCTTATGTTGAATGGTAGAAATATAGGAAAAATATGTAAATTTACTTTTTATTAGTTTATTGTTCTTTCCCCTCAGAATGTAGTTTTCTGAGGTCTAAATGGATTGTTTTATCTGCTAAACCTGGTTATAAGCCCATTGTTAGAGATTCCATTTAACTTTCTTTTACTGTAGCAATGCATATTTCATTATTTAGACAGCATGCACTCAATGTATTTAATTCTCATTGGCAGTAAAGAGTATGGCTAGTGTGGTTTTTTTTAATATCAGGTGTTTTATGCTGAAAAGAGTCATGCTAGTTCACAGATGTACTGTGTCTTGTAAACGTGGTGTCATTTGTGAAACAACTGCAGAACCTGGCAGCCAAGGTCATTTTATTGCGGGCAAGCAGAGCTGTAAGAGTATCTGACAAAAGCATCTTCAGGATTCTTTCAGAATCAGAAAACCTAGCAAAGAAAGAGTGCAAACACAACATAGTCTGTTCTCAGAACAGTGTGCGTTTTAACTTCCTCGAGATACCAGGTTTCTTTTGTGTCCTGTTGTGGGTATGTTTGAAAAAATGTAGGAGACAAAATGTATGGCCTCTGCTATTAGAAGGCTTTTCAATAATGTTAAAATTGCCAATTCCCAGTGAATTACCAGACTCTTACTAGGGTCAAAACATGGGTTTAGTTTTTCTTTTTTTTTTTTTCCTCCTTTCTTTTTCCCCATGAATAAGGTAGGTTTGTACTTCTTATTCTCCAACTGTAGGTCTGCTTTGGGAAGAAGTAGTTTTCACCTCTTGGTTTCCCAGTCCTAACCAGCATTATTCTATCTGTAGTACTTTCTTTCATTTTTTTCGTTTTTCCACAGTCATATATGTATTTTTGTGGACACGATCAGGAAAGAGCTAGAAAAGAAATAGTGTGTTTATTGCCCCACCCACCCACCAAGTTGTTAGGCAACTGGGGGGGAAGGGGGAGTCATCGCTGCCAAATGCATTCTGTGGAATGCATTTAATTCCATTTTAAATATTTGCATTAAATTATCTGTGTACATTTAGGATGCATTCCTCAGCTCCGTGAAGCTGCAGGTCATTTCCCAGGGCTTAGAGACAGAATACTGTTTTTATGAACTTGCGTAAACTCATGGAGATGCTTAGTCGCTGAGAAAAGTGTTCTCACTATTACTTTCTAGTCTCTCTCTCTCGTTTGTCACTTTTTTCCTCTGTATGTATTACCCTACAGCAATTCTCATAAGTTTACCCTGTTTCCCTCCCACTCCCTCTTCTGTCTTTTAAAGTAATCAGCAATTAAATGGCTAAGATTATATTGCTTAGCTACTAAATATTGTCTCATATTCTGTATGTATTATAATCTCAGGCTGTCCCCTCGATATCTTGGGGCTGATGTGAGCCTTGGAGGTAAATAGAGTAACTACGAAACTTAGCATCAATAAATTCCAGGGTTTGCTTGCCATGTTTACTTCTGTGGCTGAAGGAGTTTATATTTCTCAGAATGTGTTTGCAATTTGAAAGAATCTGAGTGTCTCGTCAGTCAGACTTTTCTTTTTTTGAATGCTAGAAGCATTTACTTTGTTGTTTTCTTTGGGGAGTGAGTATTTTTTATTTGGATTGGCGAGACCAGGACGATACTTAAAATCATAACCATCTCATGCAGACCTGCTCTTTAACT